ACTAAAACCAATAAAGTTAACGAATCTTCGCCTGATCATTAGGTGATTAATATCATTTATACTACTCTAAAGGACGAACATTAATAAACTACTTAAAATACCCTTACTTTTGACATATTTTTAATGGCAAATTAGTAATACACTAATACCCATTCTATCTTACATTTTTAATTAATAACTAATATTTACCTAAAAAACTCTTACTTTGACATATTATTAATGACAAATTAGTAATACACTAATAACCATAATATCGTATATTTATACTTAATAACTAATACTTAATTAATTAAATATGTATACACGAATAAAAATTCCTCATGTCCTAAAAATCAACCACAATATTCTCGCACCATTATTTCTTATGAATTTGCATTCTTCCACATATAATAAATATCTAATTATTTCGATACAAATACACGAATAAAGCATTCTACATCTCCTCAAAATCAACCACAATATTCTCGCACAATTATTCTTTACGAATTTGTTTTCTTCCACATATCTCCCAATCTGAATTCTTCCATGTCTCCTAAAAATCAAACAAACATCAACCAAACAACAAAGCTTTCAAAAGATATAGAATTGTTGTTTTAAAAAGCATCTTAGAACAATCGTTGGATGATTTTTTTGCAACCTAAATTTATAATATACTCAATTTCTTTGCTTAAAATAATATTAGAACAATTTTATGAAATGTATAATACTAAAACCCAATCCATTTTTTTTCATGTCGAATGGAATACTACTTGAGCAACATGATTTAATTTTGACTATTTGATTATTTACAAATTAATTAAGAATATTTTCAAAATAATGATATACCTATATACGTTGAAAACTAATTAATTTTTACCAAGAAACTATATCGATATATTACCATTACTCATCTATATATTAATTTGTATTATTATAATAAAGCAATGTTTTTATTAAAAATTATACGAAATACAATAATAACAAAAACTACTACATACAAATTCTTAATGTTTAAGAAGGAATACAAAAAGAAAAAAAAATGCTACGAAAAATCAAACAAGGTATTCCACTGAAAATTTGAACGAATATTTCATTAGTATAACTTCCAATGAAAAATTTCATTGTCTATTCCAACAGAGATAAAATTAAATTACATTGGAATTACATTTAAACGGAGTATCCAACTGAAAACATTGTAGTGCTAGTGAAGAAAATCAAAACTGAAAACATAGCACTACAAATGTAGATCCTTTCAATCTCTGTGGTGTAATCTTGACAGACAATTTGATCAAACGTGAAAATACAATAGAATTTAAATGATTTGTTTCTTTTACATCATAGTGATGAGGCGGGCAATTAGATCGGACGTAAATAAATATAATATAATTTCATTTTGATCAAACGTAACAATAATAGAAGTCGAAACATTAGAAATAATAGCAAATAAATTTCAAATAGTCCACTCAAGATTCAAGTCTGTTACTAGATAGGTAAAACGACCAGGACTCGTCAGTGGCGACCCAACTCCACAAGACCATAGTAGGTTTATGTGAATTGATAAAAGGATCATGGCAGGTCATAACAGCACAAGCATTGGCCAATCCCGAACATCACTTATCGACTAATCCCGCTCCAAAACCTACACTCATTAAACGGATAGTCACTTTGTCATTTTCATAGCAAAACAAGAAGAAAGAGAAGAAATATTTAAACATGGGAAAGAGGGAAAGGAGATGATTTGCATCTGGGACACGAGCCAGTGAAGGCACAATCCATCCATACACATGCACCGTCACATTTGACACGAAAGAGCACACTACATAAATAAAGAGATGAGAAAAAAGAGTGTACTACAAAAGTACAAAGAGCCTCATCACACTAGTAAAAGACACAATCTATCCAAGAAAATGTCTGTGTCTCACAAAGAAACAAGAATTACACAAAGCACATGGTGCCAAAATGCACCTTGCATCAAGAAAGTGATCCCGTTAATTCGGCTTTCTTGTCTTCTAAAAGCTTCAACTCATTGCGCCACCCATCCAATTTTGCCACCTTCTCCAATTGTTCCGGCTTCAGGTCCTTTTCAGAAGCTTTCTGCTGTTGTGCTTCAGTCAGCCGAATCTGCAAAAGGTTAAAAAAAAAAAAAAAGAAAGATTTCATCATTTATTGTGTTTGGTGTGCAGCTAGGAGGATAAGAAACAGAGGCACCGATCTAGTTGCTAGCAGGAACGAACAAATTTACACGTAGCAATTAATGCGAACAAGCAGAAAGTAGGCAAAATTGCAATTTCAGTCATGTTGGCTTGATCCAGTGACGTTTTTAGTCCTAAGAATTGAACATTTTACTATTTGGTCCTATAATTTTAAAAATTCAACGCAATTTCAGTCGTTTGGGACTGAAATTGCAACAAAATTTAAAATTACAGGACTTAAATTGCTAATAGATTTTGATTAGCAATTTAAGTCCTGTAATTTTAAATTTTGTTGGGACTGAAATTGCAGCAAAATACTAATTACCGGATCAAAAGACAAAAAGTTGAAATCTTGATACTAAAAATGCCATGGCATTAAACCAACATGACTAAAAATGCAATTTTGCCCAGAAAGTAAGACAAAAGTCAGTCAAAGCTAGAGGGACTTCGCAAAAAAGCTCTTAAAATGACCTATAAATGCTTTTATTCTTGTTCACTATCTTAACTTCCGTTATATTGTAGGGAAGTATGCAGTACAACAGGTTTTGAATTAAGGTTCACAAACAGGGAGGACATTAGTAATATAACTTGGTAGGCCAAAAATAATTCTTCAAATCTACTCAGAAATAAGCTCAACATAGAAATGATAAAAGTAATTGAATCTCGGCAGACAAATAAATCATGATAAAGTAAAGTACAACACTAGTCTTTAGCACAAGATCAAATTTTGTGGCATATACATTGTATAAATAACGAAACATAGCATCTCCACTAACCAACCATTTAGGAATGGCAAATGCCGACCCCACTAGTAGAATTGTAAATTACCTTCTTTTTTAGTGCTCGAATCTTCTTATCAATATCTTGAACTTGCTCCGAGGGACTTGCGCACTCATTTAATGCATCCGAAGGTGCAACCACCGAGGAACTCCCGGAAAGAGAGAGGCCATTCATCTTTGATTCAACGAAATCTACATTTTCTGGCACGTCAGCCGAACTGTCAGCAGGAGATGTATCATTTTGTTCTGAACTTTTACCCTTGTCTAGAGCAGCCTAATGAAAAACACGAATCAAATTAGAGATATAGCATAAAAATAGGATTTTTCTTAGGATTTAGTCAGCATTGGATAAGCAAGCAAAAGAGAGGACTCCTCTTACTGGAACACAAATTTCTATCCCAAGTAAAACGTAACAAAAAGATGAAAAATGTTGTGCAGAAAGTAGTTACTGTGAAAGCTCCCACGTGAAGCAATATATGTTCACAAAAGTAATGCACACAAGGTATTATCATATATGTAGACACGCACACACACAAGTATACATGGTACATCACAGAGTATTATGTCTATCACTTTAAAACCTACACATTACACACAGTCGCAGCGTATATGTGAAGTCAGTCATTGTGAAAGCTCCTACATGGAGCAGTGCATATGCACAGGCGTATTGCACAAAGTAATTACATATATACACACACACGCTAGTATACACAGAACATCATACAGCATTATGCCTACATCCCTTTAAAAACCTACATTTATACATGCAATGGTTATATGATTTAAGGGATATAATATTTGGAAATTAATTAAAGAATGTGTGCCATTTAAATTGGAAAAAATAAGAACAATCCAATGATTAAAAAGGCACGAGGCGCAAGTGCGTTCAATTGCCTAGGCACTTCAATATAACAATTTATATATATGTGTGTGTGTGTGTGTAAATATATTAATAGTTCCCGACAAGAAAAGAAAAACCCAAAATTTCAGAGCTAGCAGAAAAATCTCAGTCCCAGGAGGAAGAAGGGAAGAAGGAAAATTGGAATCTGCCACAACTATATGAAAAAATGATTAGAAAACAAGATAAAACTCATTCTGCCGACAGCAGCTCCAGAAACGTCAGTTGGTAACATCAGGCAACATTGCTGCTGGAGACACAAAAAAGAAATGACAGAAAAAAAACAGAACTTGCCAACAGTTTCAGTGTCACAAAACTCCTGCAATCGGGTAGCAATTGGCAGAAGAAAAAATCACATGCCTGATCTAGGGTTTAGTTATGGACAAGATTTATTTTTGCGCATTTTTAAACTAGAAAATCCATAAGCATGGCCCTTAAATTTAGGGTTTTGCCTATGTTGGGTGTGGAGAACAACTCGAGCACCAATGTCTTGTGTGAGGCGTTGCCTTTCGGAAAGGCACCTCGTGGCCTCTCCTCACCCAGGCAGTCGGGTACACCATGCTTTTGATTAGATCGACGCCTTCTTAATCACTAAAAACAAACCTCAAATAGGTTTTTCCACTATCACCCTCATATGTTCTCGAATGACTGTAATGCAACCAAATTCTCCTGATATAATTACAATATTACATATGAGATGGGAGTGCACTCAGTATTCCGTATCTTGCTTGCCATCTTTTCAGCTATTGCATTTCCGTAACTTGCCAAACATTTCCTCTAGATCAATAAATTCCTCACTTAGTTGCTCCGCAATCTTTATGACAAATTTGAAATCTTCAGCGGATGGCCTCAATTGCCATGTACTTTGTTTGTGAACCATTGTGCGATAGAGATAATCAATAAGCACAACTTTTTTTTTTCCACACAGAACACATCATCTAACTTGTTCCCATCGCTCCCCTCCCAGATAGTCAGTTTTCTCATTTCATTTATATGACTGCTACAAGATTTCCTATAGAGAAGATGAAAGAGGACAAGAGGAAAATTTGAAGGGTATGGCATACACAACCAAAAGGCTAAAAACTTTGATATTTACCGAAGCTAAAGGAATAGATATTCATATATAACTTTTCAAAATTCTTGCTAACTAGAAGAACACTACTAGGTGACATTCATCAGAAAACTCAACATTAACCTGGAAAAAAAGTGATGGCATTTCATTGGAAACTGACTAAATAAATGAGAATCTGGAACATCGATAAATAAAATAAAGAGTGGATTGTTCATCGACCTGCTGGCGCTTCCCTTTTTTCCTCTCATTCCTCTTAGCTGCTTTGGACTTCGGTTTAGTCTCCTCTACCGGTTCATATCCCGGCGGCACCTCATGAATAGCCGCCATCTCCTTCTTCCACTGTCACACATTTCAATAACACACAATTGAAGAAACCCACAACAACAAAAGCCTTCATACCTGAAGAAAGCATGAGTCACTCACGAGTGCGCCTCTCGATTGGTAAATGGCGACCTCGTCCTGGGGTGTGTAGCCGGCACGAATCCGAATAGGCTTGCGTAGGGACCCGTCGGGCCGTCGGGTCGGGCCGAGGATCCTCTCCCCATCTTTTAGGGTTCTGCCCAGCTCCGCCGTCAACTGCGTGGCATCCTCCGACTCCCCATCAGCGTTGCTCCCCATGCCTGGTTTTAGTGTTGATCGCTGAGAGGGTGTGAATAATTTGGTGAATGATTTAGTTAGAGGGCGAATTGATTAATGTTGGCCATTGGTCATGAGAATAGTATCATGATCGATTGAAAACTGAGAAATTGTTCTTTTGTGAATTGAGTCAATGGGCCAGATTAAATTTTGTGGGCCTCTCACGGAAGAGCTATAGTAGAACTGTAAAAAAGCCCGTGGGCCGGCCCGCCCCACAGAAAAGGCGGGCTGGGCCTTTATTTTCAAGGACCGCCAGGGAGTGGGCGCACGCAAGCTGGCCCACGCAGGCCGGAAGTTAGGGCGGGGCAGACGGACTAATCCGCGGGCCGGCCTGCCTAATTTATATATATATATATATATATATAGGGAGTGGTTCAAATAAAAACCTCTTCTGGTGTGAGAACCGTGAGAACCATATTTGATGCTATTTTTTAATTGTGTATGATGCTATTTTTAATCTTACATGGTGCTATCATTTTTACAAATGCTAAGTTGCTATTTCTAATAAAATATATCCTGATTAAAAATAGCACTAAATACAATCAATCATAGCACTACATACAATTAAAAATAGCGGTTCTCACGCTACGACTTGGTTCTCATTTGAACCACATCCTATATATATATATATATATATATATATATATATATATATATATATATATATATATATATATATATATATATATATATATATATAATTTTAGGCTATTAACTTCATCTTTTTCCTGCTCATTTTATTATTTATGAAACAAATCATTACATTTTATATCAATTAAGTATAATATTTTATTTTAAATATTTTAATTTATAATAATTAACAGTAATCCCCTCTATATATAACTAGTACAGAGCCCGTGCGATGCACGAGGTGTATAATTTTAAGGTTATTTATCTAAGTTTATAATTATATACATGAATAAAGAAAAATGTACGGGATATATTTAGTACGTCACCCGTGCAAAGTACGGGATATATTTATTTGAAGATTATTATATTATAAGATGCAATATTCAATAAAAGTTTATAATACGCAAGAAAATTGTACAATGTTCAATAAAAGATTTATAATATTCAAGTGGAGTTTTAAAGTCTCTTATATATTAAGATTACTGATAAAATAATATTTTAATTAATGAATTTCCTTTCCTTGTAGCCAAATTGTGAATGTGATTTGAGGAGTACAACAAATCGATATATAGCTGACTTCCTTTTTTCATTGTAGTTTTTTTTTTCTTTTTTTTTTTATAATGAATTTAAAGATATTCTAAAATATAGCAAAAATTAATTTTTTTATTACAATTAGGAATTTTACTAAATATAAACTCTCAATCTATGGTGTTAATCAACGTTTAAGTCTAAAAAATTAGGAATTTTTACCTCTTTTAATCAACGTTTAAGTCTAAAAAACAATAGAGTTATTATAAATTTTTTTTCTACATCTTTTAAAACATTAAATATGAGCATGTTAGGGCTAGCTTGTAAAATAATTAATATATTATCTCACTAAAACATTTATACTAATAAAAATTTAATTTTAGCATATAAATTTATCCCTTGATATAAGAGAAAGTAACAGTTTTACTTATTGTTGTTCACCATATAATATTTAATTATTATTTTATTATATAATAAAAAAAGAATATTGTTAAATAGTGTAGTAGAATTGTTATAAAATTATATGATTTTTTTTTTACAATATGAATTTAATATTTTTTTATGATTTGATAATATAAACAAATCTATACTTAACTTTGACAAATAAAACAAATAAATACTTTAGTAAGTATTTAATGTATATACTAAATAGGAATATATTTGGGATAATCAAATACCAAATATAATCAAATAAGTCAAAGTGCACATTTTTATTTGGTATTTGATTTTTTTATTATTAAATTTTTTTTATTATACTTATCTTTTTAAAATAAAATAAATAAATAAATCAATTAAATAACTAAAATATTATAATACCAAAATAGTAACGACATTTAATACAATTGACTTTTCTGGACAGTAAATGTAGTAAATAGAATCTACTTTTATAAAAGTATAGATATGATATTATATTATATTACTCAAAATAATAATGCATTTATTGCATTGACTTTTCAACTTACTAAATTTCGTAAATGGTACCCCTTATTATATAAGTATAGATTTCAGAATGAACTGAGTCTACGTGACAAATTCTCATGCTTCGAAATCTTATTTGACAAAAAGTCATGTTTTGGAGTTAAGCTTGGATATAAATTAATATTATTAATTGTATTTTAATATCGTTTCCTATTATAACCATTGAATTGAAAATATATTTTAATAGTTGATAACTTTTGTATTTCTTATCGGTTTTACATATATAATATATCAAATTAATCATCTTTTGATGAGCTTCGATTTGACATCCATATTGTATATATAAAATAAATAAATTATATTTATCTTTATAATAATAAAAAATTATTTATTAGAATTAATTAGGAAATAAAATTATTACCAATTAATATATTTATGTTTAATGTAGTTATATGTTATAAGGTAGAAAATTTATTATAATATAACGCATATAAGTCGCACAAGTAACATGTGTTATACTAAAATATATAATAATATATACTTCCTCATATTTTTATTATTTGTGACTTTAGCTTAATTAATCATTGATAAAATAAATGTCATTTTAGATACTTTGTTCATATTTTTCCATTTTTAACCCTTCAATCTAATACACATTGTCTCTTTATGTCCTATCTCCATCGTTTCCCATAACATCCATTAAATAGGGTTAATATTGTCAAGAAAAAAAATTTAATTAGTTTGTTGCATTTGAATTGATATTATGAAATCCGTTTGTATTTTACTATTTATATATATATATATATATATATAATATAAAACAGTAATATATATCCTTATAAATAAAATTTAAATTTATTTATCAAAAAAAATTAAATTATATCAAATAAAACTATAAATTATATTATAAAGTAATAGAAATTGGTAAGAATTCTTTTAAAAATGATATTTATTTCAAATTTAATTGGTATGTTTTCAATGTCATAAAATAAATAATTATTTATATAAATTCTAAAATTACATATAAAGTTAAAAAACTGTGAAGCACGACTGATGCGACACTTGATGTATTAGGCATCTAATTAAGTAAAAAAATTAATCTATTTTGTTTAATATTCAATAAATATATTCTACACTTATGCATATACATATCACCATATTTTTCTATTTATTTAAGATATATATTTTTTTACTTATGTAATAATAAATAATATCGATATTTTTATATGATATAAGTAAAAAAATTCAACACGGTTTAACATTTTCATTTAATGTACGGGTGTTTAATTATTATGATTCAAAAAATATAATTTGACAATTTAATTAAAACCCAAAGTAATGTTTTGTATAAAATTAAATTATTTTAGTTAGAAAAAAATAAAAAATTTAATACTTTTTACAAAAGCTTTCTAATTCAACACCCGTGTAATACACGGGTATTGTACTAGTATTAATTACTTATGAATTCTCATTAAAGGTTTATAAAAGTTATGCACTTCCGAAAATTTTATAGTCTAACTTTTTTTCAAACTTTCTATTTGAAATGAATTAATATTTTTTTTATCTCATTAAAAAAATTTATATAGCTAAGTGGTTTATGTAACATAACAAATCCTTTAAAATAGTATAAAAATTGCTATAATAATAATAATAATAATAACAATAATAGTAATAATAATGATAATAATAATAATAATAATAATAATAATAATAATAATAATAATTTCATATTTTTTCTACTAGCTTATGATCCTGTAAATCTGTAAAAATTGCATTATTAATTGTATTTTATGCAATCTAAAAAATAATTCATTTATATGTAAAATATTTATTAATTATATGGTTTAATTTTAATACTAATCAAATTTATTTAATGCTATATGCTTGTTATATAACTTATAATATCTATACACTAGTACAAATCTCGTGCGATGCACGGTCAAGAAATATTCATTACTATTATAAATAACAAATGCTCATTAAATAATATTTATAAATTAAGAATATGGAATCTATATCTATATCTATATAATAAGAGTATACTATTTACTAAAAATAGTAAGCAAAAAATCTGAGAATATTAATTATATTCTATTTTTAGAATTTTTTTTTCATTTTTTTATATAAAAAAATTAGGCCGCATTTAATGCTACCATAAATCATGGAATTTGTTATATTTAAACTTAAAATTTCAAAAAAACTTGCCTAATTGTATTTTAAGTTTTTTTGAAAAATATTTAAATCCCAATGATTAAAATAAAAATATCCATCTTGATCTTAATAACAAATCTATAATAATATATAATATGACAAGGGCAACACGTTAGATTAGCGAATAATTTGAGTATTTGTCGGCAGATAAAGAAACATTAACGAGATTAAAATCAATTACTTAATAATTAGTATATGAATAACGAAGATTAATGATTATTCATTTTTTGTTTAATTAGATTTAAGAAGAAAAATTTAAATTTTTGCCAGCAAAATTGTGAATGGATATTAAATAATATTACTACAAACCTAACAATTTTGCAGTCAAATCACTTTCCTCTTGGGCTTTTGCCTTTTCCCTTTGAAAAGGGAGGATCATCGGCTTAAAATAAAATTTTTTGAAATTTCTATATAGATTTATGTATTATATTCCAATGCAAGGAATGATAATTCTTTCTAACAAAATGCTCCAAATATCATATCAAATAAATATATATTGTATATGAAAAGAATATTCTAGATTGATTTGTATGTATTTCATACCAAATGCGTTATCATTTGCGAGATATACACAAATTCGTATAATATATTTATGTGAAATTGGTAAAAAAAAAAAGAATTAATTGATGGATCAGTACAAAATATGATAAAAGAGATATAATCAAAATCGCTTGACATTCGACACATTACATATAGACAATATTGATAGTAACAATATAAAACTGGTATACAAAACATATAGACAATATCTACTATGTAAATATTCTCTCCTAAAGTTCAACGTGAGATATTAGATCATAACACTTATTATTTACTCAAATAATATTTTAGATACTTTTTT